CCTCCAACCCCACCCATCACGGACTCTTCGGCAACTCAAACTCATACACCGGCCCCCTCTTACTCAACACCGTCCCCAACCCCTGCACCACCTCCGCCTGATACGCCTCAAAAGGCACCCTCTCACCATCAATCGAAATCAACCCCTCCCTTTGCCCGCCCGCACCCCCCAACCACCTCCCCACCCTCGCCCTCCACCTCCTTCCAGGGGCCGTCGCACGCATCCTCGGCGTGATCCGGTACGCCCGCACCTTCCGATACGAGACCTCGGGGAAATTCATCAGCGTGCCCTGCTCGATGGTGGAGAGCATGCGCAGGGCCGTGGTGCGCTGGATGGAGCCGTCGATGTTGATCATGTCGAGCCGGCCGTCGGTCGGGAGCGCGGTGACGAAGAAGCGGGCGTCGGCGGACATGAGGACCATGTTGCCTACGAAGAAGTTGCCTAGGGTGGGCAGGTCTTGGGTTTGGAAGGCGGGGGGGAGGGGGTCGAGGATGGTGCCGTAGGTTAGGGGTGGGAGGGTTGAGGGGGCGGTGGCGGTGGCGTTTTCATCAGAGAAGAGGTAGGTTTCGGCGGGTAGATGTTTGGCTGTTGCTGCTTGGTGGGCGTCGACTGCATGCCGGTAGGTTTCGCGGATGGCGCGTTTGTCGTCGCTGTCCACTACCACGGAGAGTTCGGCCGGGTAGATGGTCTTGCCCAGCAACCGCACCAGTACACCCCATTTGAAGCGGAAGCCGCCCATCCAGCGTAACGACTCAGTCCCCAAGTCGCTCTCCGCCACAATGCCCACCGCTTGCGACAAAAAGCTGTAGTAAGTATTCGTCCCCTGCGTAATCGCCGTCAAATCCAACGGCGTCCTCACCCCCTTTACAATCGCCACCGCAGCCAACGACGGCGAATCCGTCCCATACAGATTCACCGCCATCGCATTCCCACTCCCGCACGGAATCTGCGCCACCGCAACGCTCCTCAGCGCCCTTCGCGGCTCCGCCTGCTTCGCCAACCCATTGAAGACCTCATACGGCAAGCCATCCCCACTCGCGCACGCCACGACATCCACGGCTTCCACATCCAGCTTCTCCGCGATCTCCATCGCGTGGCCCTTGTACGCCGTCCGCTCAACATCCACCTCGCACCTCGCCGCGGCGAAAATGGGCTCGACTTCCCTCGCCCAGAGCCTCTGCGCGTGACCCTGCCCGCCGAAGGGGTTAATCAGAACTTTCATCCTCTTTCTCCGCTTGGTATTGCTCGGGTACGCCCGATCCATCAGCGCATCCACCCATATCTTCGTGTAGCCGTGCAGCGTCTTGTCCATGACTGTGTAGCAGATACACTCGACCCTGCACCCTTCCTTCCCCGTCGGCTGCGCATAGTTTATGATGACTTCGAAGCTGTCCAGCTCTGCCCACAGCACGTTGTAGAAAGTTACCGCGCGAGTGGTTTTGGCGAACTGGGGGAGGAGGCCGCAGAGGTTCCCCGGCGCTCGCTGGTGTTTCAGGCCTTCGTCCAGCACGATCAGGGCGTCAGTTCCGAGGGTGAGGGTCGCGTTGCGGCCGACGTTGAGTACGAGCGCGGTTTCCGGGCTCGCCACGGCTGTCGTGTCGGAGACGTCGTCGGCGTGCTCGAAGGGGTTTGTTGTTACGGAGTCGGGGGCATGGTCTGTGTGCGACATGGTGGTACTGACTGCACTGAGCGAGTGGAATGCAGTAGTGGGATAGTGTTAGGGTGGCATTATGGTGGTGGTGAATAGAAAGGATATGAGTTGGTTTGCTGATTACCAACGCTGGGTCCGGAGGAGTCGGGTGGGTGGTTGTCAGCTTCGTCAGACCGCACAGGGCTGATGAACCTCCCGTCGACAAACACTTCCGCAAACGTATATTCCAAGTTATTGGAGAGATGACGATTGAAATCGTGAGTGGTCGTATACAGTAATCCTCGATGCGATCCGGCCTATACTACATTGATGTACACCTCCCCTGTCCCAAAACACCAGTCTCACAAAACTCAAGACATAATATCGTAGAACCTCATCGCCGCCCCTTACACCGGCGATCTCAATCTGCGGAGCTCGTAGTGGAACCAAAGCTCTGCCTCCTCTTCTTCTGCAGCCTTCGACCAGCTACAGACCCAGCACTACTGGAGCGCGACCGTGACCGGTAGGAGTTGTGCAGAGAGATCGGCGGCGCAGCTCGTTGCCGTTGCATCGGATGCTCATTGATCGGTAAGGCGGGATTCAGTGAGCCTGGTCTTAGGATCTCGAATCCAGTGCCGTGACCGCGTATGACGGTGGAGGGCTGCTTCTCGAAGGAGGTCCGCTTGGGCTCGGAAGATCTGCTCTCTGATCGAGGTACTGGCAAAGCCGCACGCGATGGCGAGCGCGAGGACCCCTTGCCCTGGGTCACCGGGCTCGTTGGCGCAGAGGTGTAGATACTGGTTGCATCACTCTGCCGCCGAGTATTAGGCGTCGTGTCCTGGCCGACCAGCCTTGGCGACAGGGGCGCGGTCCCACAGAATTGCACAAATGGTGTGACGTCTGGCATACTGGATCTTCTGATTGCCGCTGGCAGTGCGTCAATCTTTGGAGTGGAGATTGCATGTATGGGCAGCGACCCTTCCGATGAAGGCATGTATGAATTCCGGTGGCGATCCCCGAAGTAATCGCCGCGCTGACTGGCCGGTACGGAAGCCACGGACGAATCTCTACTCTGTCCCGGCTTCCGCACTCGAGGTGTAAGCTGCCCTGTCTCTGCCGCCTGAGACAAGCGGTGCGTCTGCATCAAGTCGAAATCGACCGACTGCTTCCTCGGCCTGGGTCGTGGTATCGGTTGCGTGAATAGCAGTGGCGCTGAAGCTGAGATTGACTCGAGGTCATGACCGCTGTGGCTCGAGTCTTCGCTACTGCTCGGGCTGTCGGGATGGATGCTTGTAGAAGCCCGCCTAATGGCTTCCATGGACCTGTGCTGAGCTGCTTCAAGGCTCTCCAGTGAAGTCTGCGTTGAAGAGTATCGATGTACGTAAGGCGTGTTGCTGTACTTTGCATACGATAGCGGCGGGTGGCGACTTCGTGCTCCTTGGATAATTGCAGCATCTGGCGAATCGTTACGACTTGCACGACAGGTGGCGACTCGATCTTCAGACGCGGTACGGCCAAAGTGCGCACTAAGTCGAGTGCCAGGTATGGCAGGCGAACGCGACCTGGCTTTTTGGTGTATCCTCGGGATCTGCTTCTCAATGTCCGCATCTTCGAATGAGCGCGGGTACTGCTTCAGCATCAATGAACCTGCAGAGCTCTCGCGACTGTGACACTCCGGCGTGTTCGGCCTCGACACCCAGACGCCTTCAGTCTCGATACCGCTTTCCAAGGCTCTAATACCAAAGGGTACCGCATCATGACGTCGCCGCTGGCTCATCTGTCGCTGGATAGCCTGCTCCCTTTTCTCCTTCTCCGCGATACCTGTGTACTTCCGTAGTCGCCAGTGGATGTATCCGAGCTTCAACGCTCCTAGTAATACCGTCACGACAATAGCGCATGCCAAGGCCTGCACGTTTAAATCAGCAGAGTCCTCTCGGTGGCCGGAAATTGCTCTTACGCACGAAGCACAGCTTCTCCCATAGTTTCCAGTCGGAGAAGAACACTTCGGCCATTACGCCTGGAATGCGACTGCCGTGCGTTGATCGAGGTTACCCGTCTCTGCTGAAGCACGGGATTTGTGGCTGTGGTAGGGTTCTGTAGGAGTGAAGATCAGTCTCAAAACCAAAATGCGCATACGGTCTAGGTAGATGAGATTGAGAGTTGTCTGGCGCAAAAGGTGCAGGTGATGTGGTTCGATGTTATTGATGGCTTACGTGTGCTTTCTCAGTGAATGACGCATACAGGTACGCTTAGCTGCCTGCTTGCTGCTTGGGGAAGGCACGACCAATGTATGCCTCGGCTCGAGTTCGGAAGGATGATATTGTCACTGACAACCTCAGGACATGCAAACAGCGTAGCGGTAAGGGCGGTGGAGAAGTTTCGCGAGAATCGATCGGCTAGTGGTGTAACTTGCAGGAGTCTCGCTACTGTAGGGAGCGCGCGAAGAGGACTATCACGAGAGCCGTGGTCAGAAAGCGTGTGCCACTGAGGACGCGGGGGCGGTGAAGGTTGGTTGGAGAAGAGTATATGGACAAGCCCCTGGTCGATTCGAGGGGAGACTCTAGACCTCGGGGTGGTGAAGGATGTACAGGAGGTCTGGAATAGACAAGGATGCCGTGGTTGGAACGTCGCATCGATCCCTCGAACGCGGAGAAGGCCCAAGGATATGGTCGTGACATTCACCCAAGGCATGGCAGTCCCTGGGAGATGCGTGACGCTCGCGTCTTCTGGTACCCGAGCCACCTTTTCGCCGCATATGTGGTGGCCCGTCTGTGCTACCGGAGGCGTGGGTCTTGCGCAATCCGGCGGCGCGATTGATCGCGCTTCCATACGAATGTACTCTTCCCATTACCCTGGAGCTCTACTCTACTCGGTTTGTCCGCCACAAGGCATGGATCTCGGGTTTGTTTTTGAGGATGGCGAAACACAACGGTCTCGCTCAAACAGAAGTCCCAAACATGGACCACAAGGAGCTAGCCGTTCCGGGATTTCCGTGGAGTTGTGCCTTGCATGCACGCAAGGTACCCGTACATGTAAGTCGTACTGTATCGTTACGATCCGTCATTGTCGATGTCGCTGTTGATGCTGAGGTATGCTGATGAACGGCACGATAGAAAGAATCAGAACGACGACCTGACATGCCTGCAAAAAACCCCAAGCGATTGAAGCTTGACGAACGCCTGCTTCACTTGAGAAGCTCCACAACAATCTGAAAATGCCCGGCCCCTCCCGCGAACCCATCAAATTCACGTTTGCTTGTATCAAGTAAAAATCGTTGCAACCCACCCGGACAGAATCAAAAGGTAGATTTTACAAAAGATAACGTCGTAGCTGAGAATGGTTTCCTGGTATGGATTAGTACGGGGTGAGAATTTGACGTTTCTGGCATCCAACTTACGATCCATTGCCCTCCGGGTTATGAGCCCGGCGCGCTTCCGCTGCGCCACTCAGCTTTTTAAGACAAATCTGCGCCAATATGTTATGTAGACTCAATCAATCTACCGAAGACGAGGGAAAGCGATGTTCCGTGATTTTCAACGACGGAGCACAGGGGATGGACATTCGTGGCTGATGCGAGGTCGATTACAGGCATGTTGGCTCGCGATTGATCCAGTCTATGTAGAAGTAGGGCTCTGTAGAAGTGCTCTCCAGTCACCACCTCTTCCGGTATCGGGTCGCACAGCCTTCGATCGGAGACCTCGCGTGCCTACTCATCTAGCATCAAACGTGCAAAGACAAGCGATTGTTGACTTCTCAACTACTCCATCGAATGACTGGCGATAGAACATACTTGACCCCCAGAAGTAGAGGGAGTTCACTAAGCCCGCGCGGCCGCGCGAAGTTGGTTAGCAGCCACCGACAGCGATAGATCCAGCATGTCCGACTCCGGACCTGGATCTGGACGCTCGATCCTAATCATCAACCCCAACACGACAGTCGCTATGACAGACGCCTTGCCGCCGCTGGTCGACAGCTTGGGATACAGCACGGTCGGTGTCTCTGCCCACTATCGACCCGATAGATGCACCTACTAAGCGCAGTCCCAGACACACTTCAAATACTTCACTGCGCCAAGTGGAGTCCCGTCGATCAACAACGAATCCGACGCCACTGTCTCCGCCCGGATATGCCAGAGCACCCTCGAAGGCAAACTACAAGACCATGACGCTTTCCTCGTCTGCTGCTACTCTCAGCACCCACTCGTTCCCTTACTGCGCGCGGAGCTTGCTAAACTCGGTCTCAACCACAAACCCGTCACGGGCATCTTCGAGGCTTCAGTAGCGGCGTGCTTACAATCCATCGACCCCCTGGACAAGTTCGGCATCGTCAGTACTGGCAGTCAGTGGAAAGCTATTCTCGGGGAGGCTGTGGCGGCTTTGTTGGGTTCTGCGCAGAGTAGTCGGTACGCTGGCACGGAAACGACGGGGTTGAACGCGGATGAGTTGCACTCGACGCCGAAGAGGGCCGTGGATCTTCGGATCAAGCTCGCTACGAAGGCTTTGTTGGAGAGGCGCGCGAGAGCGATTTGTCTGGGTTGTGCGGGGATGGCTGGTATGGACCGAACGGTGCGGGAAGCGTGTGTGGAAGTGTTGGGCGAGGAAAGGGGGAGGAGGATCAAGATTGTTGATGGTGTTGTCAGCGGTGTTGCGTTCCTTGAGGGTGCGATGCGGGCTGGGTTGTAGCGTTCGACTTTACGATACCCTCTAGCGACGTGATGTTCAACGAAACCGACCACACGCAGCAAGGATTTTTTAAGGTATGAAATGCTTGAGTCAGTTGCGGAAACTTGGCATTGTTGCCAGCATCATACATGCAGCCTCTGCTGAATACCTCGATGGCTCTCTTCACGTTTCTCCTAACCTGTCCTGCCGTGTCTAGACCGTGAGTATTACATCGTTGGCGTCGTGTTGTTGACAGACAACGATCGCCCTAAAGGAAAAAGATGATCACGCCAACTCGGATCTTGTCGCTCAGCTTCAATTTCGAAGGTCTTCAATCGATGGCTTCAATCGATGGCTCATGCTGGTGAAGTGATCGACATACCAAACCCTAGCGTCAACTTGAGGTTCTGCACCCACACTCGCATTCGACCATTGACTCATCAAACACACCACCCGATCTCACAACCTCCCCTCAAGCATCTCCTCGATCCCTCCCAACGTCGGCCCAGCATAAGGTCTCGGCTCCACCAACCCCACCAGCGCCCCATCGAACCCGCGCTCCTCGTCTCGCTCCACCTCCGCCATACTCTTCTTGCGTCTGATGACTCGGTACGTGCTCGGTCGCTCGCCCATAACCGAGGACGCGGACATGTTGCGGGAGCCGCTGAAGCTGGAGAAGCCTGAGGAGGTCGACGATATGGATCGGTACGTTAGAGACATTGGTGAGGTCGTCGACGTCGATGTAGTGTCGTACGATGAGGGTGAAGCAGGTGAGGAGGGGCTGAATGCGGTCCGTAGTCGTCGTAGTGAATGCCTCGGGTGGAGAGATGGGAATGCGTGGGAAGGCATGGTGGTTGTTGTGGTGGCGTCAATGTTGTTCTGACTTTGACCAGGTAGATGACTTGGTAAAATCCAAGTCGCGCTCTCTGGCGTCGATGTGTAATCTCGTGGTTCGTGTTTGCTTGCAGTGATCCAGCCCGACGAGCTGAGACGGCTCCTCGTCGATATATGCGAATTTAGAGTAGCGAAGGAACGCTGACCGTCTTGTAGTCGGAGAATGTAGAGTCGTCAATGCCCGTTCCTGCAAGGCCAGCACCTCCGAATAGATCGATGGGGCCAGCCCTATGGAGGAAGTGGAGAATGGGAATGCTGATGGTAAGACGGGAGGCCTAGAAGAGCAAACACTTCCCTTCTTCCTCTTCACCGCAAAGTAGACCACGGCAGTAGCAGCAGGAAAATCGTCACCGCACCTTTCGGATAGCAGACAGGGACAAAGGAACAGGAGAATGCGAGACGGAGGCGGTGCGAGTACTTATCGCTGTTGTGCATCCCGCAAACAACACCGCCAACAGTCCGTGCGCGTGTCACAGACAAAGTCGCCATAAAGCCCCCTGTGCCGATCCCCCTCCGGACATGATGAGCGCCCCTTCATCATCTCCTCCACAGTTGCTGATCGACGATCCGAGGGAGTCTGATCGCGTGATGTTGTTGATTCGTTTGAGATGGTCTGTATCCCAAACGTGCGCTGACACGAGGATTACGCTAGAGAAGACTCTTATAGTGAGATGCTTCTATTGGTCGAGGAAGAATCCGGTATGAACATCCTCAGGTCTCTCGGGAGGGGGCCACCTGGATCTTCATCGGATGGTGAAGTACTTGTGATGAAGACGTGGCGTCCTGGATGTCGAATGCTTGTTGGAGGAGTCTGATACTCGGTACAACACGACGCAAGCTTGAATTGACCGAAACCACGCGTGTCAATCTGACCGTTGAGAGTGTCGATAGTCGGAACGTAACTCATTATTAATGCCATATATCAATGTGCAATCTGCCCGCCCTCTACACAAGAATTTGGGTTGATCGTCAAAAACGCCATCTCTATGCTTCGCAGGTACACTCCCCAAGACCTCCCAATAGACTTGATCAGCGCTGCAGAAACCCCATCATCTATCTCTCTCTAAACGCCAATCACTCAACCCACCCATTCAGTCAAATCACGACGAAGGCCTCCTCGGGGGATTTTGGCTCGTCCGCCTCGTAGTCATCGTCCTCTCCATACTCGCCCCCCACGGACTCGACGAGAACATCCCCACCATCTCATGCTGACTGACCGCACTATTCGCCCGGCTCCTCGCCCCACCACCACCACCAGCAACACCACCCGGCGTGAACGGCGTCTGATTGGGCGTCAGCCCCGGACTTCCCGGTGGCGTCAGACCAGCCGGCGACGCGCCTTCCATAGCAGCAGCGAAGTACCAGTCCGGCTGTATACTGCTCGTCGACGTGCTCGGCCGATGACGGGGTGTGAGTCGCGCCGGCGAGGCCGACAATTCGTGGTCGAAAGAAGGTCGCCCAAGTTCCACTGGGTCGTCCAGATGCTGATTGATCGATCCGCTGCGATTGCGCATCGTAGAGCCCAGCGCACTCGCGATCGTCCGGCTACTCCCAGCATCCGACCCACTAGCCGGCGCTCGCAGACCCACAGCCACACTCCGTTCGATATCCGCGGGGTCGAAATCAACGGGCGTCACGCTTACAGACGGAATATCGAATTTCGTTGCCCGCGTGCCGTCATGCTCCCCATCCTCCTCGTCCTCACCGTGCACGAAAATCTCCGGCACGCCGAAAGTCGGCACGCCAGTCATCCTCGCGCTCCTCTTGGCGTCCAGCGCACGCCGGAAGCGCCGGGCCCAGTAGAGCGTGTCGAAGAAGCCGACGACGACGTTGCGGTTCACGGCCTCCTCCACGCGCTGCAGGCGGGCGCGACGGCGCAGATATTCTTCCAGTTTCAGGCTGCGGTTGTCGTTGATGACTTTGTAGTGGGCTAGGATCATGAGCAGGGCGTTGAAGGATATGCCGCGGTCTGGGTCGGCGGATACTAGGACTTCCTCGTAGAAGATGTTCATGCGTGCGCGTCGCGTGCGGATTTGTTGGACCGGTAGCTCGGTCAGCCGCCGATTCAGCTTATTTAGGTCGATCTCAACCGCGCTGGACGGCCCGTCCATGGGCAAGGCAGACGTCCCGGAGTCAGAGAGCTTGCAATCCTCGATCAGCGTCCGGACCGAGAAGTCGCCATCGTAAATCCGCATCTCGAACACGCCAGACAGCTCCCCCAGAAACCGCGGGAAGACCTCCTTGGAGATGTAGCCCGTACCATCCGGATCAAACTCTGCCCACGCCTGCTTGAACCGTCGGATCTCCTCCCGACTGATAACGCTCAGCCCGCTGCTGCGCTGGTACACGTACGAGAAGCTCTCATAGATGAGCGAGATGAACAAATTGACAAAGATATACATGCTCAGGATGTTCCAGGAGATAAAGAGCGTCCAGGCCCACTGCTGGCTGCCGCAGTCGCCCTCGAAATAGTGCGACCCCGTCGTGCAGTAGGGGTGCTGCACGGAGGCGAAGTCGACCATCAGTTGGTTCCAACCTTCGCCCATTGAAATGCGGAAGAGGAGGATGAGGGCTTTGGGGACGGTGCGCACGTTGATGTTGCCCGTTTCGTTTGCGCCGAAGCGGGTGAGACCGAAGGTCTGTGAGAGTGCGATGGCGTAGAGGAGGAAGAGCACGAACCAGGTTGCGAGCAAGTTGGCGATGGCGGTAAAACTCGCCGCGGCGGTTTTGAAGAGCTGGTCGAGTTGGTTGTTCCTCGGGATCAGCATCAGCGCGACCGAGACCAAGAAGAGCTTATGCAATTGGACGTAGTCACGGTTGTTGAAGTTGGAGAGGTCCAATATCGTCGTGACGAGCGTCCCGGACACGGCAAACACCGAGTACACATCCCATGC